TCCCCCTGGCAATAAGCAATTAAAATAATAATTGTTTTGTTTGTTTAAATAATAAAAAAAAACCCCCCTCTCTCTCTCTGTCTCTCTCTGTCTCTCTGACTCTCTGACACAAAAAAAAAAAAAAATATTACAAAGCCCTCGGGCCACAGGCCCGTCGACTTCCCACCCCCCCTTCGCTCGGCCTCCCACCCTCACTCGAGCCCTTCCCCGCTGGAGCTGCTCCCACCGGCCCTCAGGCCTTTTCTCCTCCCCTGTCGCCCGAGCAACCAGCATCCGCTGGAGTTGCTCTAATGGAAGGGTACCACTAGTCTAAAAGCAATTTCTAAGCTAGAATGCTAGCTTAAGTACAAAAGGTTGTAAGTTTAGGGGGGGGTGTAACTAAAGGAAGTGTACCGCTAAACTACAAGGAATCTTCCACCTTAAGGAAGTACAACCGATGAAAATGTACTAAACAGGAGTGGGAGTATAACTAATGGAATCATACCATTGCAGTCAAGGATTGAAATATCGGCCGATACACCGATATATCGATATTTTCAACTGTCGATACCGATACTGGGGGGGTAAGGCCATATCTTCCCCTATATCGACGATATATCCCCGATAAGTGCGATATCTCCGATATTTTGCCGATATTCTTGATATTTCTCAATACCTATAATAAAACCCAAAAAAATTCAAAAGTTTTGAAGCAAATTGAAACCCAAAAGATTTTTTGGAGGTATGTGGGCAGTGATTAGATATGTGTGAAGACTTTTGGCAATATCCAATTCAAAAGATTTTTTGGTGTATCCATTAATTATTACTATAAAGAATCTATGCACAATGAATTGAGGGGACATACGTGTCTTATCTGAAGATAAAGAAATACACAAATCCAAATATTAAATTTCTGGTCAAATATATCTTTATTACCCGCAAGAAAATGATGCACGTGTTTGAGCTTCTTGTGGAACTCTTTATCATTTAATATTTGTTTTGTTTTTTAGTTGTTTCTTTTTCACTTTTTGAAGTCAGGCAATTGGCAATTTGCAATGCACTGCCCATGTACCTCTAAAAAAATCTGACTACCTTTATTTCCATCAAAGCCGGAATCATCCAAATGGAATCCATAAAATAAAGTCTGCAAAGCCCATATACCATTGTCCCCCAACCCCCAAAACTTCCCATTGTTATCATGAGAGAATCCCTCTTTAAATCAGAGGCTGTTTTACTTTTTTTTGGGGCACTAAATCTTCACTTCTCTTCTTTCTCTGCGAGCTTTTGAATTTTTATTTAGCCTGTGAGCTTCTTTCCTTGTTTGCAAGTTCTCTTTGACTGCTGTTTCAAGTATGTGGCTTTCCTTCATGGTCTATATTATTTTTGTGATAGATTTGATATTGTAAGTTAATTTAATATATTTAAGTGTGATAGATTCAAAATGGCAAGTAGTAGTAGACCGAGTGGAGCTAGTGTGCTTGGTGGTCTGGATGTGACATGGAAATATGCTCGTCCAATAGAAGGAAATAAGCATGGCACAATATGCACATTTTGTGAATCCACATTTCAAAGTGGTGGAATTACACGGTTAAAGTATCATTTGGCCAGATTTGATCCACATAAGAGTGTAAAGAAGTGCAAAGAAGTACCACCAGATATTAAGAATGAGGTAATTACATGGATAAAGAGTCTAGCAAACAACATAAGAAATCTGTTGCAGAAAACAAAAGATCTACAGCAAGAGGAGGATACATGGGCAATAAAAGTAGCAATCCTATTGATGATGATGATGATGAGGATGGATATGCATATCCTCCAGACATGCACCCTGCGGAGAAAGAAGATTACCTTGCTGCCATTAGAGCGTCGAAGGAAGAAGAATGGTTTAGACAATGAGGAGTTTACGGAATGGGAAGCAAACAATTTGTAAGGGGAGCAAGTGGTAGTAATCAAACGCAATATCGTTGCACTCAAAGCCTTCGAGACCCACTTCGATCTCCTCCGGTACCAATGCCACACAAGAACACTAGAGCAAAACAGAGAACAATCAAAGGCATGATTAGAAACTCAGCAAAGGTACTTGGAAGATACTGTAGCAAATTCTTCATACTTGAGAATGTGGCTCCTCAAAAAGCAAGTTCCCCTAATTTCAAGAACATGATTACTGCAGCCCAACAAGCAGGTTTTGCTTTATTTCTTATGACTTTCCTTTCTTGAACTTAAATATTCTAAACACACCAATTGCTAATATGAGTTCGATTATATTAGGTCAAGGCGTAACCACACCATCGCCGTATGAAATAAAGAATAAGTACTTAGATATGGAACATACAGACACGCAAGCCTATGTGGAAAAGGTAAAGGAAAATTGGGGCGTGTATGGATGCACCATCATGAGTGATGGATGGACTGGCCCGACGAGGTTGTCTATAATAAATTTCATGGTCTACTCAAATGGGAAAACAATTTTTTTGAAATCAGTGGATGCTTCAAATAAAACCAAGGATGCAAAGTACATCGCCAAATTGTTGAAGGATGTCATAAAAGAGGTTGGGCCGTCGAATGTTGTTCATATTGTCACCGACAATGGTTCAGCCTTTGTTAAGGCTGGAGAGATAATGATAGAGTGGTATCCTATGTATTGGACTCCTTGTGCTGCACATTGCATTGATCTAATATTTGAAGATATTGGGAAGCAAGAGTCGGTGGTTAATGGCATAAATAAAGCTAGGAAATTAACCAACTACATTTACAATCATGGTTGGCTATTGGCTCAAATGAGGATCTTCTGTCAAGTAGATTTGGTCCGACACGGTGCAACTCGGTTTGCGACAAACTACATCACCATCAATAGCATCTTAAATAAGAAAACTGGGCTGAGGCAACTTTTTACAAGTGAGGAATGGTATAATAGTCAATTCAGTGAATCAGAAGAAAGGAAGAGAATTGAAAGTCGAGTCCTTGATCATAGATTCTGGGATGCCATGGAAGGAGTGCAATCCATCTATTATTAGCCTTTGTACAGCATCCTGCGAATTGTTGACACAAAGGTAGTTCCTACAATGCCTATCTTATATGATATGTTTCACATAATGAAATAGAAGAATTCTAAGTTGAAGGGAAAAATGGATTCTCAAAATCATCAATCACAGATATGATGTCACATTATCTCGTCCATTACATCAAGCTAGTATGTTTTAATCTCTTAGTAAAAATGTGCATCAATTTTTAAATTTATACAACGGGCATTAACTAATCTTCATATTTGTAGCCCGCTACTTGAACCCTAAATATCAATATGAAACAAGGGTTGGCCACAATAAAGAGTTACTTTCAGGACTCCAACGTGTATTTAAAGAGTTGAATCCAACTGGGGATAGAGGTTTGCAAGCATTTGGGGTCGAGGTAAGTGAACACAAAACAATGTCTTCCTCATTAAGTTTAGTTTTATGCATACTGAACACAAAACATTGTGAATCCAGGTGAAATTTTAGAGACTGTAGACAGACATTTCGCACTGAGATGGCCGTCAAATCAAGAAAATCGATCCCCCTAGCAGAATGGTGGAATCTTCATGGTGATTCTGCCCCGAACTTGCAAAAATTTGCTATGCGTATATTGTCACAGACAGCATCATCATCAGCATGTGAGCGAAATTAGAGTACATTTGCTCTTATTCACACGAAACAAAGGAGCCGTCTCGCATATACTAGGCTGGAAAAGATTGTCTTTTGCTATTATAATATGAAACTTAAGCTAAGTGATGAAGAGGCCAAAATGAACAAGGTTGCAAAAATGACTATGTTTATACCATATTTAGGGCCTCGTATTTAGACCTCGTATAAATACTTGGGGGACTTAAATGTAATTATGTGATAAAGGACTGGGCAAATATGTAATAAGTAATGAGTCCTTATTCTATAAAATGACCCCTCACCCTCACAATTAGGAGGAGGCCAATTCCTAAGGCTCCTCACCTTCTCAACGCTCTCACTCTCAGAGCTCTCTCTCTCCCTCACTTCTCAGAGAAATACAATACAATCAGTGTGGACGTAGCCCAAAATCTTGGGGTGAACCACGATATATCTTATGTTATTTACATTACTTGCAGATTCACGGTCAGATTTACGTTGTTCCAAGACTTCTGGTTTTATGCATCAACATTTGGCGCCGTCTGTGGGAATCGACACGAAAAACTATGTCGGTTCTCTATCATTTTTTTCACCTCCATTGTGAATCTACAAAGAATCACAAAAAACCCAGAAACAAAAAAGCTCCAAAGCTCTCTCTACCCCACTACTGCACCACTTTTCGCCAGGCTAAGCCCTCACTGACATTATCAACTTATCATATGTCATGTCACCATCAAAAATTGAAAGCATACTAATGTGGCTTCACAAGTTTTGGCAGTCGGCACGTTCCAAACTTCCAATCAGACCATATGATCGATTTGCAGGTGAGGTGAGGACCTGAGAGACCCCACTTTGACCAGATTTTGATCTTATGGAGTCGTGCATCTTTGAATTTCCAAGGATTGGAGTTTCACACAACGAGTCGGTCTGAGTCGTCATCCTGCCCAAAAAACGATGCCAAAGATAAAGAAGACTCAGAGTATCAAAAACAGAAACACAAAGAGAAAAGAAAAAATGCCTTGCGCCGTGGTGGTTCCGGTTATCAGCTTTAGCTTCCCCTTCTGCCTGTCTTCGCCTAGAGTCCTCCATTGCCCGCCGCCCGCACCGTCATTGTTACTAAGTTCTTCCCCAACGGCTGGTGGATCACATCCGCCGACGTCTCAGGGAACCGTAAGGATATGGGGTACCCTCGTGTTGAAGAACGAGTTCAAGGTCCTCTCGGGTTGGGTCTGATCGACAACCTCCAGTAGTTTCTTTTTCGCCAAGCCTGAAGTTTCTTTTTCATGGACTTCGCAGTTGCATACCCCTTGGTCTCAACAGGCCAATTATTGTCTGCAACTTGAGATTAACGGGAATAGTTATCTTGTTCATAAAAATGGGATATTTATAGCCTATCAGACAACTGTGTGACCATCCCAGCCAGAGAAAAATAGCTGAGAACGATCCTCTACAGTCAAGATGATCCAGGGACAATCTGATTGTTAATCACGCTCTGATCACACGATCCTGATTCATCAACCAGGCATTCTCCAACTTGTCAGTGTGATCCCAACCTAGGGGACTTAGGGTTCTTCAAGAGTGTGGACAGTACGGCGTTGTTTTTGCTTCTTTTGTAACTCCCAATTCACACCACAGTTGTTTAAGCTCCAAATCCACAGGCGGAGTTCGTCAATTCTCTTTTGGACAAGCTCAAGCACTCTTTCTCCCTCGCTCTTGTTCATTTTTACTCGCTTGCCGGCTGCTTCGTGACGAAGAAAGAAGAAAACCCACCTCGGTATTTGGTTTATGTAGACTGCAGCAACAGCCCCGAAGCCAGGTTCATCCATGCAACTCTGGACGTGTCGGTTTTGGACATTCTTTCGCCAACTGAAGTGCCCTTGGTGGTTCAGTCATTTTTTTTTCTTTTTTTATCACAACAGAGCTGTTAACCACAGACAGCCTTTGGAAGTTATTAGTTTTTTTTAATTTTGGGGGTTTTCTTAGCCATGGCGTCCGAGGGGCAGAGTCTCTAACCTCGGCCCCGACCCTAGCCATCCTCAACGGCAATAACCAGTCAAACATAACTCGGAGGGGGTGGGCATCATCATCATCATTATCAAGGTGAAAGCGGGCCAGTATTAGAGCGAGTCGTGACCCACCAAAAGGTTTGTCTGGGTTCATCGCCACCAAGTTGCAGATCCAAGTGCAGAAGATGCTGGCAAAAGAGCAAAGCAGAAAACGAAAGCAAAAGAAACCAGACCGAAAGCAACCAGGCCATCCCTTCAGCATTAAATGAGCCATGTGCTCCACCGAGGCCACGAGAACCCCTACCATGATGTTTCCTATTTTTGTCACGATTACCCATGTTGCCCTTAATCATGTCATCAAACGACATATCCAAATCAGAAAGCAAAAAGAAAAGCAAAAGGAAAAACAAAAGCAACAAAGGTGGAGAGATCAAGAAAAGCAGAAAAGCAGTGGGGAACAAAGCAGAAAAGAGAAAGCAAAAGAGAAAGCAAAAGTGAGGAATAAACATCACATCAGAATGACATGGTTTACTTTCCTTATTTTTTGTATGATGTAATTTATTTTTCGTATCTTTCGAAGATGTCTGTATAAACCCCATCAGAGGGTTAAAAAAATAGCAAAGCCCAAAATAAATGGACGGGCATGTTATGTGGAGGGCGTAGGCCCATAAGCCCAAAATAGCACCAACCAGGTGATCAAAAGTACGCCCAATACTCCATAATTATTTGGCAACCTGCCGCTATTACCACCAACCAGGTGATCAAAAGTACGCCCAGTACTCCACAGTTATTCGGCAACCTGCCGCTATTACCACCAACCAGGTGATGAAATGTACAACCCGTACACTAATATCATTTGGCAACTAACCATTAATGCCACCAACCAGGTGATGAAATGTACAACCTGTACTCTAATATCATTTGGCAACTAGCTATTCATGCCACCAACCAGGTGATGAAATGTACAACCTGTACTCTCCTTTATGCCACCAACCAGGTGATCAAAAGTACGTCTAGTACTCCAAATTATACATGAGCATTACTCATGTCATTCATACATAAACATTCATGAGCATCACTCATGACAATCATACATAAACATTCATGACCATCATTCATGTTAACATTCATGAGCATCACTCATGTTAACATTCATGAGCATCACTCATGACAACATCCATGAGCATCACTCATGTTAATCAACATAAACATTTATGAGCATCACTTATGTCAATCAGCTTCAAAAGCTTCATTTACAGAGGTCTAGCTTCAAAAGCTTTATTTACAGAGCTTTAACTTCAAAAGCTTCATTTACAGAGCTCTAGCTTCAAAAGCTTCATTTACAAAAGCTCCAGCTTCAAAAGCTTCATTTACAAAAACTTCAGCTTCGAAAGCTTCATTTACAGAGCTCTAGCTTCAAAGCTTCACTTGTAAAGCTTCACTTACAAAGCTTCAATGCAGGGTATACAAATACCGCCTCCGAACAACCGCCACTTCGGCCCATACATGGATTCAACTTGAAGTCTCCAGCCAACAGACTCTATTAACCGAAGACTTGGGGGACTACATTATGTATCATATATTGGGCCTCAACTGGGCCTCATGAAAAATACTTGGGGGACTTAGCCCATTACTTATGTATTGAGGAGCGAGCTCTTATTTTATAAAAGGGACTCCCTCACTTTCACTAGAGAGCACCCATTGTTCATGTACTAAGGAGCGAACCCTTATTTTATAAAAGGGACTCCATCACCACCATTAGAGAGCATCGCCACTTACTGAGCAACCACCTCGTCGCGAGCATCAACTCTAGCCCATCATTTATCTATTGAGGAACGAGCCCTTATTCTATAAAAGGGACTCCCTCACCATCATTAGAGTGCATCAACTCTAGCCCATCATTCATGTATTGAGAAGCGAGCCTTTATTCTATAAAAGGGACTCTCTCACCTTTAAACGCTGCAAGCCGAGCCAACCAAGGCAACATAAGCCACGAGCCGAGCAGCCTTGCAGCATGTGCTACTTCTAGTTGTGCTTCATTTCAGATTGAGCACTGCCTTATATCGAGCATCAGTTCAAAACAACATCTAGTTATTTCAGCCCACACATGGACTGAATTTCAAGTTTCCAGCCAAAAGACTCTCTTGACTAAAGACTTGGGGGACTACTGTTTATACCATATTTAGGGCCTTGTATTTAGACCTCGTATAAATACTCGGGGGACTTAAATGTAATTATGTGATAAAGGAATGGGCAAATATGTAATAAGTGAGGAGTCCTTATTTTATAAAAGGACCCATCACCCTTACAATTAGGAGGAGGTCAATTCCTAAGGCTCTTCACCCTCTCAACGATCTCACTCTCAAAGCTCTCTCTCCCTCATTTCTCAGAGAAATACAATATAATAAGTGTGGACATAGCCCAAACCATGGGGTGAACCACGATACATCTTGTGTTATTTAGATTACTTGCAGATTCACGGTCGGATTTACGTTGTTCCAAGACCTCTGATTTTGTGCATCAACAGACTACATAGACTTTCTTGACATTGCAGGGCAACCATCTGATGATGGTAATAACCCAATTCAACAATGGATTATGACAACTCACTTGGATAATGAACAAGGCAACCCTGATGCCGTTATAGCACAACATGCTGCCCAAGAAGGAGTTGATGTTGATAGAGTCATATCCGAAGATGTTAGGAGTGGAGATACTTTATCATTTGAAAGGGATATGCTTAGTACTTGGCAAGGTCAAAGGCGTCCCTTAAGAGACGATGCAAGTACTAGTAGAAAGGAAAGTTCATCCAATTCATCAGATAATGATGGAGGAAGTAATGCTGGATCAGGAGGTAATGAAGAAGAAAGACAATATAGCCCATTTACTATCGAGGCTGATTTTACTCATGCCACCCATGATGAAGATCATGGATGCAGAGAAGCTGGACCAAGCATTGGCGCAATTGGGAAGCAATACTCAGGGAAAAGAAGCCAACCAATCAATCCATCTGAAGATGACATGGCGATCAGTTTTGGATTTATGAGCATACGAACTAGACCTAGTACTAACTCAAATGAATCTTATGATGGCTATGGGTATGTCATGTCTGATTATAGTGGAACTAGTTATGGAGCTCAAGATGATGAAACAGACTATGGACCTACTAGTTGGGTTAATCCTAACTATCCCATGTATAAGAGGACAATTGGGAGCTCAAAAGAGACATATGTGCACCATGTTCAAACATGGCTTACAAACTACTCGGGTTACATGACTTGGTATGACTATTGTATGAATCTAGATGGTTGTTCCTCATTGTTTGAGCATCATAGGAGCTTTTCATTTATGTAGTTGGACACTTATCTAAATTGTAATCTAATGTTTAGACAACTATGGATTTATGCATGGTTTATTCATTCTAATAAACATTTTATTAGAAAACTTTTCATTAACACGCATTACATACCACTTATATTTCATCATATGTATATCTTATAATTAGTAAATGTTGAGTTTTATTTGTTCAATACATTCATTGATAATGTGCATAACATCTATGAAAGTTTTAGACCGAAATTATGTGTTTCAATGCCTATATCTGTCATTTTTGTTGATTTTTTCCCGATACCTAAAACAATAACGATATATCCCCCGAAATATCAGTAAATTAGAGGCCCGATATTATTTGCACGGCCGATATTTTAATCCTTGATTGCAGTTATGTAAGAAGAATAAAGTTTTCACAAAACAATATAGATTGTGAATATGATATAGTCAATAAATTGAGTGACTTGTGATAGAAGTCATAAAGAATGTGAATTGAAATTCATTAAAAATAAGAGTGGTCTTAGAAGGTTTAGAATCCCACTTAGTCGTTGAACCAATACAGTGGTTGACATTTGTGAATCGTTGAACTCAAGATCCTGACACATCGCAAAAGGTTATTAGGTCTTGAAGACATTCTATATTAGAGCATTTCTAATATAATTTCAAGGCATTTTGTATCTCCCATTAGAAATGCTCTAATACAGAGGTTGGAGTTAAATAATGGGATTTTAACGTTAGCTTTGGGATTTCTCTCATGCCTTTTGTAAATACAAAAGGCCCCTGTGCATTGTGAAGTTCCATTTTTAACCTTGAATAAATATTGGCACTGTCATGTCCACCAATGCCATTAGGGATCGGTTTGAAAACCCGAAAAAAAGTGAACCGAGGCTGAAAAACCAAAAAAAAAAAAAACAACTGAACCGAATTAGACAAACTTAACCGAACCAAATCTAGCTGGTTCGGTTTTGGTTTTAGGATTATAGAAACCGAATAAACTGAACCGAATATAAATAAGTCTCTTGAGCATTTGATGCCTAAATTTTGGCTACTGAGTTAGGTTATTCAATAATTAAATAAAACACTATATCTATTCAACCATACAATTGTTTAAAGGTAAATTACACAAAACTACCTCAATTATAGGTCGAACTACAATTTCATACATTATAATTTAAATATTGTAATGTTATACTTCAACTTATGAATTTGTTGCAATGTCAGATCTCCGTCAAAT